TCCGCCGCCGCCGAGAATCGCGCGAAGTACTCCGGCGGCGGGGTCCTAACGGAGATCAGGCCGTAGTTGGGTCGAAGGTGCGGCTCCGGCGGCTGGCTCCGGTGGCCGAACCTCGAGGTGACGGCGATGGTTAGGATTATGCCGTTGACGACGACGTATATATAAGGAGGTCTGAGCCAAGCCAAAACGACATCGTATGGTACCAACGGGGCGACGTACATAACCGTCGCACAAAGCAAAAGCAGTTTCACGGTTAAAATCCACGTGTTCATTTCCTTTTTCATTTTTGTTTTTTGAATTTCTGATAATATATTTTCATATATTTTTGCTTTCATCGAATTATGAGAGGGTAGGATATATAAAGGCCTTGAGGCCTTCGAGCGGCGTAATTTATGGGCCGTAGCGCAAAATTTGGGCCTCAGTTTATGGGCTTTGGTTTTCGTTGATGTACGGTGCAAGTATTGGGCTAGCACGCGTGGCTGTAGGTGATTTAAAGTTGTTTTGGTTGACTAATTTGTGTCGCGCAATTATATGCTTATGTTGACTTGATGAGTGTAAATACAGTTGAAGTTTGGTAGTTTTCTGTTATGATTTGCAATAATAAGTCGTTTGGAAGGTTTGATTGATTGTCCCAATCCAGTGGCGGAGGCAAAGGTGGCGGGTAGGGCTATCCATAATCCAATCATCCCATGAATTTAATTTGTATTTCATAAAAAAATAAAAAATTGAGTATAAAAAAAATTGCATATTTAATCTATAAAATATCATAATATGATATAATATAATCATAATAATTAATAATTCATATTACTATGATATATACATATATATATCAAAACAATTAACATGGAAGAAAAAAGCGGGTAACTACCATTCATGCATTAATTTGTTAGATTAATTTATTAAGTGATTACTTGCCAAATATATGTTGGCAAAATTTTTGACGGTTTATTTTCGTAACAATATAATGAGGAGTAATTGATGTTTGCTATGTGTATTAATTTTGGTAATTCAATCTGTATATCACAATATATGGATATGATAGGATAAATTGACTATGATTCTATTTTATTATTATTATTATTATTATTTTAAAATGTTAAAACAAGATCTTTGGAAATATCCTTAGAAAAATCCAACCATATTTTTAATTTATTTATTTTTTCGGTTGCCAGCTACGGTATCCGGAGCTTTGTCCCGACTAATCTGTTGGTCGACTCGGGTCGTGCACCTGACAATGGTGGGTGAGTCTCCCAACATGCCGAGACCTTGCTTAAGCGACATTTAATTTTATAACTTTTAAGTGGACAACATTAATGTGTCATTTAATTTGTATAATGACTTTTTAGTGGTCAATATTAATTGAGTCAATTATTCTGAAGAAAGTATCAGTACTCTAGAAATTGAAGGATACATATTATTATAAGTTAATAATGTGGTGACCGAAAAGGAACAAAATAATCCATTCAGACCATCCGTGTTTTTAGATTCAATATTTTATCGCTAATAATTACTCCTATATGTTTGTTTTAAACAAAATCTTTCAATTATAAGTTATATACAATCTTATATCATGGAAACAAAATAAATTAGCTAAAAATAATAATAATTAACGTATGATAAGAAAAAAATAAAGAGGAAACTAAATATCTAAATATAAGATTCAGAATATTTGATTATATATAAAAATGCATGTTAATATTTTTTTCCTCTATATATGGAGTAATTAAAGTTTTTCGTAATAGTTTGAAAATTTTGTATTTCATTCTTAGGCCGAACAAATATATTTTGCTACTAAAGTAATCATGATTGCAATTAACATTTTCTTGTATACGTAACCACTAATCAAGTATGTCAACAACTATTAAAATTATACGACATTACACAGCATGCTATACATCCGTGGTTATATGAACAATAAATTGATTATTAATATTATTCATTTTTTTATTTTCTTTTGTAGAGAATTAAAGGTGTAAACAGTCAAGTCAAGCCTGAGCACTTGATACTCGAACTCTGGCTCGAGCATTTATCTGTGTTCGGCTTGTTATAAAAAAATATCCGATGAAGTAGTTCGAGCGTGACTTATTTATCAATATTAAATAACTGAGTGCGAGCTTTGACGAGCTAAAATCGAGTCTTAACAAGCCAAAATATTAATAATTACATAAATTATATTTTTGAAACTTAACGAGATGAGCTCGACTTAAGTACTCTCGTTAACTAAACATGAGTTAAATAAAATTATGAGCAGCTGATTTCTTAATTGGAAAGCCATAATGGAGCCTAATGCGCATGCCCTGCACTGCGGTGGGCGCACCCCTCGACCGACCATCCAATCTTTTGGTTGAGCCGTTAAAAAGGGTTTTGATTTTCTAATTGTAAATGGATATATATATATATATATATATATATATAATATTAGACAAATTAAATTAAATGTTGATAATGATAATAGTTAATTAATCAATACTTTTACTCAGAAGATGAAAATAATA